CCCCCCACATGAGAAGCTTACGGGCTGGAGTAAATGGTGTATACTCAATCAGTTTGCCTAACAAAGCCCGTCTCCGTTTCTGTTTCTACATTTGCTGAGATCGCTTGTATCCGGAAGAGAATAGAGTCATTCCTTACATGGACTTGCCATTTAACCAGCGCCAACAATGCTGTACACAGTTCGTCATGTTCTTGTTGCTTCCTTAAAACAACTGCCTCCTTGAAGTACAACAATGACAGATTCAACATGGAAGCGGATTTTCATGGGAAAAAAAACTCTTCTCAAAATAGTCAAAATAGTGAACAGCTTTATTTGAAAGCATCAGATACTAAGGTGGATTCTTCTCCTTAAGCCAAGGTAAATAGCTATATCGCTGAAGAGACTGATTCATGGTACTAAAACTGGCCAATCTCCTAAGGCACTTCATCTCCCTGCTCCATTGTTCCGGACGGGTTCGTCATAACTTTAGACTTTTCAGAATTAAGGAAGAGGCGAGCTTTCGCAGTTCTTACGTACAAGGAAGTGGCCGGCTTATGCAGCTGTTTTACACACTGAATTACTCGATTTCGACTCGGTTCAGAGTTATTCGGTTGATTGACAAATGAAATAGAAACAAGCCCTTTCGCTTCCATATCTGTTGCTGATGGACATGAAGTAGCTACGTGACGGCCACCTTCAGGCTATTTTATAAGCATGATTTTCGTTTTGCTTTGCTCGTTGTAGTCGTTAGCACAGAATTACTTGATAGCCATCAGTAGTATTTATTTGATATGACTAATGACTAAAGTTTAGCGTTTATTTATTCACTCAGTTAGCAAACTTATTAATATAAACGTTTTGGTTGGACCATGCATTTTTTAACTTTGAATGATATTTTCTTGTACGTCGAACATTCGGGGTGCAAAACAGTATAATGGCTACGTTTATGTATAAATCCTATTTGTGACAATTGATGGGAATATAATCAATCGAATGACTCTTCCAAGACCTGATTTTGATGCGTATTCCGCTGTTCCCTTGCTTTTAGTTGCCTTAGGGGACTAAGGCTTTTACGCAGATCATAGGTCCAAGGTATTTAAGCACCTGCAGTGTCCGATGCATCCCTCAATGCCCGCCTTCTACCAAACTAGGAACATGGCGGTGGAGCAATATGCCATGAAATCTGATCTTGGAAGAGTTATTCGTTATTTGAAATACTGGCACGTATGAATAGCTTACAATGCTTATGCGGTAGCTGCGATTATCTTATATAGGAAGCTAATATTGGCAGTTGCCACTGCGATTGGTTTCCTGCTTCCTTTGTGCACGTAATGATAGTTTTCTGTCTAAGTCTGTAGTATAATGAAGGAACTCTTCGCCAGAATTATTCGTACATGTTTCGAGTCACAGCTTTGCACTCATAGCTACAAGGTCTTAGAATATGTTTCTCTTAATATTGAGACGTTAGACACGTCTTAAATATGAGGCAAAAATTGATATATGATTGAATGACTGAAAAAAAGTACCACAAAATAAATGGCCGATATGGCTAAAGTTTTCAAGTTACTTAAAGACAAAGACAAATGTTTAATTTTATGCATCAGTTGTGTTTTGTAGGTTTCTACTCAACGAAAAGCGCAATCTCGAGGTTAGAAGATATGCAGCTGAGGCGTTATCATACCTCACGCTAGATGCTGACGTCAAGGAGTACGTTGTCAGTGACGATCCATTGATTCTTTCACTGATCGATCTTGCAAAGGTGCGTCTTCTCATCGTTTCTTCATTTTTGCAGTCAGTCATTTTTTTTGTATTTCTCAGAGCATAGGCGAGTTGTGTATGTTCAGCGTTAGCACGATTCTTGTCAACCTAACAAATGCTTACGATAAGAAGCAGGCCGAACCAGAGCTGATCAAGCTGGCCAAATTCTCCAAGCATCACGTTCCAGAAAGGCACCCAAAAGATGCTGAGGAGTTCGTCGATCGTCGCATTGATATTCTGGTCAAAGAAGGCGCCGCGTCGGCATGCGTTGCTCTTTCAAATACTACCAGTCCTTCTTGTCGTGAACTTCTAGCTCGGTGTGTCATGCTTCTTTTCTGTTTCATTTTACCGTTTCTTCCAATGTTTATCTGATAATCGCTCATCACTTTACGCTTAATATGCGTAACGTCTGCTTAATTTTCTCACCTCTTTGCCTTTCTTCTTAAAGTTAACAGGTCTCTAAGCAGCCTCAGTTTCATAGTATTATTGTAGTGCAGTACGAGAATGCATCATTTTGTTGAGTCGAACACTGAACTGATTCGAAACAGCTATTGAAATTCTTTACACACATGCATATATGGCTATTATTAGTCAGCCGTCCAACGAAAGTTTGTTTTTTCTAATTTTTATGAAAATAACGCATCTTACAAACTGGTATGGCAATGCATTTGTCCATTGTAAACATTTCAGTACCATTTAGCCGCCGTTTGCTTAGACGTTTTCACAGTTTCAGAAAGTTACAATTCACACGTACGAGGTATCTTTATATAGTTATGACACTTAACTTACACAAACATGATTTCAACTTGATCTCATTATGAAGTTCTCATTGTTACGTTATTTCACTTCTGAATAGCTTTTTGCAGTTCGTTGATAATGATCTTATCAGTTAAATTTAGCAAACATTGATGGTGATCACTTCAGAATATGATCTTGACAGAAACTGTGTCCATCGTTACTCTCCAGATCCTTTTTATTTGCATCTTAAATTCTCTATTTCAATATTTTTTCGTCCCTTAGCAGCAACGTTGCAGTCATCAGGGCATCCTTTATCGATGATTTAAGCCCCTGTTCGCTTTGTTTGATAAATGGAGGATGAGCTGATATTTCTTTCTCGATTTTTATTGGCAAGTTCCATAGTGTTTTCACTTTATCATTCTTTTCCATTACTTTTGGCTGATGTTTTCACCACTGCTTCTCCATTTGTTGTCGGCTTGTTCGCGCAATTGCTCTGAATTATCTCTACAACGTTGTTGTGCCGTTCATGGTATTCTTGATTCTCGATCGTTTCGCGTCCAATAGTTATGTTGGTGACCATTTAATCTTACACCTGACATGTTCTGCGTTCTGCTTTCAGCTGCTTATGAGTTCGTGCTCAGTGTTTGTTTGCTTGTGTTGTCTGGCGGGTATTAGAAGGGCTTCCGTTTGACCATAGAGTCTTATCCTCAGTAGCCAGTTGAAAGTCTGGTCAGTGTCTATATCTTCACAGAGTTGACGAAGTAACTACATGTGATTTGCTTTTTCGTCCAGCCATTATATTTGGCAATCTCTACGTTTCCCTGTTTGTCTGATGCATTTGCAGATGTTTCCACATTACTTTGCACAAGCAGTTAACATATAAGAGCGGTCTGTACTCTATCGTTCTTTGCACTAAACATATATTGCCTTAGGCATATTTTTGATACCTTGAATCGCTCTTCCACCTGCCTTAAGCAAGGAATACATCCTCCGTGTTTGCCATTGTCAGTACCATCCCATGCATTTTCAAGGCTTTTCTTGCTTTGCTATCCGGTTCTAGCCGCTTATCATCCTTTCGTCGAGGCCCCATGTATATACAAGCACTGATAAATTTTTCAGTTCAAGTGTGGGTGATTTATTACTCCGTATTCTTGTTTCACTGGAGGTTTTGCTCTACGTGGGTCAGTTTTTGTCACCTATTTAATAGAGATTAGATTCTTCATTTGGTTTATTTTTAGGAAATGAAAAGCCACAATTTAGTCCTCAATTTTACATTTACGCCAGAAAGATTTAAATTTATCACGTCAACCTTGTAAAATCATGTGCTTGATTTTTGCGTGGCTATCCATCTCCTGATTATCTTCTTATGTCATTAGTCAAGGCAGCGAATGGAGATATGTGGATGCGAATGGAGATATAGCTGGTTATGTAATCTAAATGGGTACGTAAAATTCACACTAATGTAGTGAGCAAATCGTACTGATCCTCTGTGTGATCCAGTCGGTAAGGTTTTACTGTCAGAGGAAAATTGGATCATTTGGAAAGCGATCTAAAGTGCTGTCTTCTCAACCAAAATGGAATAGGATTGAGTGAGGTTAGTTATTCCCCTCTATCGTGCTAAGACTCTCAATAAACACCTACCGTCTTTACAACCGTAGATACACTTGAAATCATCATGGTTTAGAACAGTGATCATGGATCAACCAGGGGCCATTAATTAATGTATTTGTTCATGGCAAGACCTTTTGCTTCCTTACTATAGTTCCGTTTGATGTCATTTCTAATGACCCAGTTGTACTTTCGCTAATCTACTGTACTGTTTTAGTGCTCTGTTTGCACTGTGTCAAAAAGAGGCTCATCGCGGTGTTGTTGTGCAGGAAGGCGGCGGAAAGGTAGGTGGCTTGCTCCTTTTCTTATAAATTCTCTGACTTTACGTCCGTTACGTCTATTCTTAGGTGTTGGTGAAACTGGCTACAGATAATACGCAACCAGGCAGGTTGCATGCTGCGCAGGCGATTGCGAAAATTTCCATTACCATAAATCCAGAAATCGCATTTCCGGGTCAACGCTGCCACGAAATCATTCGACCTCTGGGTACCTTGCTCCTGCTGGAAAATACCGCTCTGCAAAACTACGAATCCCTTTTGGCTTTGACAAACTTAGCGTCCTTGTCGGAATCAATTAGGTTATTTTATTCGCATAAAACGAGGTTTTGCCTTTTTGAACTGAACGTTTTAATCTTTAGGTTGAAGATCTATAAAGAAAAGCTTTTACCCCTTATTGAAGAGTACTGGTATATGCAAGATCAACCTGAACTACGGGCAGCAGCTGCTGAACTTTATTTGAATCTGCTGTACTGCAAGGAGGTATCAGCTGTTGGGTTTTTTTTTCAAATTCATATTCACATTACTTGTAACAGTACTTCTCTGTCAGAGTTGCGTTCATACCTCAGTCGTATCTCTTCGTCGATATCACGTGCTTTTATTAGCATTTCAAAATTCCGGAACGACATTTACTTTTCATTTGTGTTACTTTTGGAACTATATTTACTAGTGATGGAAAGTTGGAGGAAGAGATCGACCGGCGAATTGGTGTAGCCAGTGG